TAGACAAAACAGTGGCATCTCTTTTTCCCCAATTCTACTACTTATTGTTTGTTTGTTTGTTTTGAGACAGAGTGTTAACTCTGTCGCCCAGGCTGGAGTACAGTGGCGCTACTTTGGCTCACTGAAACCTCTGCCTCCTGGGTTCAAGTACTTCTCCTGCCTCTGCCTTCCTAGTAGCTGAGACTACATGCATGTACTACCATGGCTAACTTGCATGTGTTTAGTAGAGATGGGGTTTCACCATTGTGATAGTTACTACTGAGTGTCAACTCGGTTGGACTGAAGGATGCAAAGTATTGATCCTGGGTGTGTCTGTGAGGGTGTTACCAAAGGAGGTTAACATTTGAGTCAGTGGGCTGGGAAAGGTAGACCCACCCTCAATCCGGGTGGGCACCATCTAATCAGCCGCCAGCTCAGCTAGGATACAAGCAGGCAGAGGAATGTAGATGGTCTAGACTGGCGGAGTCTTCCAGTCTTCATCTTTCTCCCATGCTGGAGGCTTCCTGCCCTCAAACATCAGGCTCCAAGTTCTTCAGTTTTGGAACTCGGACTGGCTCTCCTTGCTCTTCAGCCTGCAGACGGCCTATTGTGGGACCTTATGATCATGTGAGTTAATACTTAACAAACTCCCCTTTATATATATCTCTCTCTATATATGTGTGTGTGTGTGTGTGTGTGTGTGTATGTGTGTGTGTGTATATATATATATATTCCATTATATCCCTCTAGAGAACCCTAATATGACCATGTTGGCCAGGCCAGTCTCGAACTCCTGGCCTCAAGTGATCTGCCCGCCTCAGCCTCCCAAAATGCTGGGATTATAGGCGTGAGCCGTGGTGCCCAGCCCCACTGTACTGCTTTCTGCAAGCTTCAGCTGAGTAATCTCTCCTTTGCTCAAAGGGGATGTTTTTCCAGGTGTTTGAAGATAACCAGTGAGCTCTGTGAAGGTGCAACTTTCTTACAGATTTGTCTAGAAACATGTATTAGGACATTGTCTATGAAGCAGTAATGTCAGGGTAAGTCCCCAATCACCATAATTTGCTACTCAAAGAAATACCTTTGTAAAACATGGCAGCTGGTCTTGAATTCTTGAATTGAGTTGTTCTATGGTAAAAAAAGAAAATGTACGCGTAACTATAGAAGAGTGTTGCTCAAACCTGAGGTGTTAGGCCATTCTTGTGTTGCTGTAAAGGAATACCTGAGGCTGGGTGATTTATGAAGAAAACAGGTTTAACTGGCTATGGCTCTGCAGGCTGTACAGGAAGCATGGCACCAGCATCTACTTGGTGAGGCCTCAGGGAGTTTACAATCATGGCGGAAGGCAGAGCAGGAGCAGGCATCACACATGGCCAGAGTGGGAGCGAGAGAGAGAGTGTGAGGCGACATTCAGTTTTAAACCATGTCTCACGTGGACTCACTCATCAGCAAGGGAACAGCACCAAGTCATTCATGAGAGGCACCCCTGTGATCCAAGCCCCTCCCACCAGGCCCACCTCCAACACTAGGGATCACATTTCAACATGAGATTTGGCGGGGACATGGGGACACGGATCCAAACCATGGATACATGTTAGCATCCCCTGGGAGCTGGAAAAAAAGTACTAAAGCATTTGGGCCCCACCACAGACTGATTGAATTAGGGTCTCTGTAGGCGAAACTGATTTAAAAACAAAACAAACAAACAAAAACACTGCCTAGCTGATTCTCATACATGAGCTTGTAGACCACGGCTTTAGAAACGCTGAAGCTACTTTACAGCCTGGTAGCACCTTCCCTTGGGTACCTCAGGGAATGATTCATTTTTCTCTTTGTTTCTGGGGTCAATTAACAGCTATGCCCCAGATTTGCAGCTGGGGAGACATTTATGTGAAATAGTGTGTCAAGTTGGGCAGCAGTATCTAACAGATTTCTCTCTTTTGTCCTGTTCACAATGGTCTGTTGAAAAACTGAAGGTGGACACACTCTGTGTCGCCATGTCTTGGCTCTACCCTCCATCCTCTTCCCAAGGTCCAGGTTATTCCTGCCATCTCGCCCGAGCAATTTCACATCACTGCCTGTTTGGGACTCCCACGTCCGTATCTGCATCCCAGGACTGCCACTGAGTTCAAACTGCAGACTGAGCATCCTCAAGCACCTAAAACTCTATTTATTGTCTTCATGTTGTCCTGTGAATTCCCTACTCCCCCACAAATCAGAAAAAACAGTTCTACTTTTTGCCTGTGTACTATCCCAGTAAATGGCCTCACCATACATTTTCCTTGGCCAGAAACCTCAGGGTCACCCTACAAACATCTGTCAACCTCACCCCCAAATCCAAGCAAGTTCTATGACTCCACTTGCTGTCAGGAAACAACATAAATGTTTTCATGTTTCTGCATAGCCAGAGTTTCCTGGGCAAAAGTTACTGGCAACCTAGTACTAAAAACTCTAGACAAATTTAACAGTTTAATTGAGCAAAGAACAATTCTCAAATCGGGTAGCCCCATTGTCATGCCAGACCCCTATTAATCTCAGTAGGGATGGCATCAGGTACAAGAGGCCAAAGACGGGATCCCACACCAGCGAAGGACACGTGGGTTTTATTGGGGTCTTACATACAGGGGAGAGAGTCCAGTGGTGGTGGGCCAAGCAGGAAAACTGCAAACGCTTGCAAAATGCATGCAATTTCGATAGCATTTTCACTTTACACCCTCCCTCTAACAGATTCCACCTGGCAACCTTCATTTAACCCAAAACAAACGGTCTCAATCCCCGGTACAACCTGCATTCCACGGACCAGGGTCGGGGATCAAATGTTTTTCATAGAAAAGGAATGGATCTCTGGGTGGGCTAGTCCCAGATTCCCTAGCATGGACTCTGAACACACATTCAGGTGTGCCTGCCTTACAGGGTCATTCTCAGGGTACACTCAAGTTATCAGTGCCAGGTGCGCCTACCCTACGCCCTGAACCAGAATAGGTTGAGAGAGGCTGCGGCACTGCCACCGTCAGAGGCAAAGGAAAGTGACGTGAGGTCCAGAGACAGCCAGATTGGCTACCACTTGCCATTTCTGTCATTTGAACGCAGTTTAAACAGTTGGCCCCTTTGACTGGCCGGAACTCGGTGATTGGTAAGAGTAGTTTCCGGTCTGTTTGTACATCCTGTTATATAGTTCCCTCTGGGGGAGAAACCTTTAGGCCAAATTTACAAGGAGGCCGCTTTAGGCTACACTTAATTTAACACTGGATTAAAGGATGAAGGAATAGTAATCATCTTGGAAAACAGAGATCGTGAATTACCACGGAGAGATTTGCGGGTTTTCCTCCCCTGGAGCTGCACCTTTGCATTCATTGATCTGCACTGGCATTTGCTGTAACACACAGGGCCTTCCCATTCTCTTCCCAGTGGTTGTTTCCATTAGAAAGGTAGCATTTCTGGCTGGGCACAGTGGCTCACGCCTGTAATCCCAGCACTTTCGGAGGCCAGAGCGGGTGGATCACCTGAGGTCAGGAGTTCGAGACCAGCCTGGCCAAAATGGTAAAACCCTGTCTCTACTAAAAATACAAAAAAATTTGCCGACGTTGTGATATGTGCCTATAATCCCATCTACTTGGGAGGCTGAGGCAGGAGAATAACTTGAACCTGGGAGGCAGAGGTTGCAGTGAGCCGAGCTCGCGCCATTGCACTCCAGCCTGAGTGACAGAGCAAGACTCCATCTCAAAAAACAAAAAACAAACAAACAAAAAAACACCAAAAAAAAAAACCAGTTAGTGTTTAAGGTTTCTGTCGAAGTCTCTAGAAGGGATGGGGGCAGCTATGATGTAGTTCCTACATAATCTCTGAAATTCATAATTTGGGGGTTTCTGTCTTGTAAATCCAATCCATTGAGGGCCCGAATGGAACAAAAAACAGAGACAGAAGGAGTTCGCCTCCTTTTGTTTTTCTGCCTCGCTGTTGAGCTGGGTGATCTCATCTCATCTTTTTTTTGCCGTTAGACTGGGACTTACCCCACTGGCCCCCTGGTTCTCAGGTCTTCAGCCTGAGTTACGCCACCAGCTTTCTTGGGTCTCAGTTTGCAGATGGCAGATTGTGGGACTTCTCAAACACCGTCATCTCATAAGCCCATTCCTCCTAATCTTCTTTTATATACACACCGACTGGTTCTGTTTCTCTGGAAAACCTGGTTAATAGACCTGAGGAATGAAACTGTAACCTCTCAGCGGGTTCTTCTTGCCCGCTGCCCAGATGCAGCTGATTTATCAAGACAGGCGAATTGCAACGGAGAAAGAGTTTTACCCACATAGAGCCGGCTGAATGGGAAACCAGGGTTTTATCATTATTCAAATCAGCCTCCCTGAAAATTCAGAGGCTAGGGTTTTTCAAGGATAGTTTGGTAATCAAGGGAATGGGTGCTGCTGATCGGTTGGGGGTGGAATCATAGTGGTGTGGGGAATGGTCACTGTGAGCACTGAGTCTGCTTCTGGGTGTAGCCCCAGGACTGGTTGGTGGGTCCAGGTGAAGCCATTGGTCAGTTGTCAGACATGCAAAAACCTGAAAAAGACATCTCAAAAGGGCAATCTTAAATTCTATGATATGATGCTATTTGCAGGAGTGATTGGGGAAGTTGCACATCTTGTGGCCTCCAGAACAATGGCTGCTAACTGTTTCTGTCTACACCCTAGCAGAACTCAGCTTCCTGTCATCCTCCTAACCTGATTGTTTTTCATTAGCTTTACAAAGGTGCTTTAGTTTGGAGAAAGGGCTATTATCATGGAAACTGTAAACTAAGTTTCTCCCAAAGTTAGCTTGCCCCAAGCTCAGGAATAACTATGGGCAGCTTGGAAGTTAAAGGCAAAATGGGGGTTGGTTGGATCAGATCTTTCACTGTCATCATTTTCTGTTAGTTTTTGCAAAGGCAGTTTCAAAACCAGGGAACCAACTGTACAAGACAAAGTATAATAATCACTCCCTAAAGAGTTTCATATTTACACTCTACTTTCTTATAATACGTTCCTTTTTTGTTGAGACAGAGTCTAGCTCTGTCACCCAGGCTGGTGGGCAGTGGGACAATCTCAGCTCACTGCAGCCTCCCATTTTCAAGCGATTCTCCTGCCTGAGCCTCCCAAGTAGCTGGGACTGCAGGTGTGCGCCACCATGCCTGGCTAATTTTTGTATTTTTAGTAGTTTCATCATGTTGGCCAGGCTGGTCTCCATCTCCTGGCCTCAGGTGATCTGCCAGCCTCGGGCTCCCAAAGTACTGAGATTACAGGCGTGAGCCACCGTGCCCAGCCTCATATTACATTATTGTGTTATGATTCTCACAGCTACCCTGCTTTATAGCTAAGGCAGGTGATGTGAATCCACTCTTGCATTCAAAGGCACTGAAATGAACTCTTACCAAAACAGTGGCAAAGACCCAGGGTTTGCACAGAAACTCACATGCTGTGTTCAGAAGTGCAGTATTCTCTCTACCCCACACAGCTGCCTCAGAGAGATGAATTCCAGGGCTGGGAACCGCGGCTAACACTTAGTACCTCCTGCATTTCCAGAAGGGCTATGAGCGTGTCCTGTGGTCCTTACAGTCAACTGGTGAGGTTATTTCTTCTATCATTTCACAGACAAATAAAGAAACAGAGTAATTTCATTTATGAACTGTGCTTTCTGCCACTTTGCAATGCTTATTCAATAGAGCTGCTTTCATTACGGAAAGCTAAAAGTTTTGTTTCCCAGAATGCTAACCATTTTATAAATAGTATAACATAATTATAAATGTCTTCCAGAAACACAGTAATAGTGATGTTAAATGATCCTGCGAGCCTCAGAAAAATAACTTGATAGCTACTCTCCGAGGTCGGTTTTTTTGAGTCCTATGACATTAGTCACTCTTCAAAGGCCAGAGAAGGTAAGAGAGAAGGTTAAAATGATATCAAATGCCCAGTAGTGGGAAATTCCGCATTTGAGATCATGAGACCCATAAGTGGGTTATAATGACAGCAAATACAAAATATCTACTTGGAAACAGAGAAAAGCTCAAATTGCATTGAAGATCAGTTACATTTTTCCTGGACAGAGGACAGTAAAAATTTCATCTTTTTCTTGAGTAAGAGAAGAGGAATATAAGGTCTTTCTCAGGGACGAGGTTTGCCTTTTTCTGGATTAAAGGGTAAGAGCTGAAGAGGCACAGCTTCAGACAAGTAGCAATAGAGAACAGAGAGAATTCTGAAAGGACACAAAGATAGATGTGTACCTGCCCCCGACCTGCTACACCCTTGTTCTACTCTCTAATCTTTGCACATACCAGAGATTTCGTAAGTTCTGTGAGTACCTGGTTTTCTGCACGTACCAGAGATTTTGT